ATTAAAAAATGAATGGTTTAGATTAAGGTTGCATAGGTTGTATGAATGGTAGAGGGTGTATAATAACACCCCTCTATATATATATATATATATATATATATATATATATATATATATTTATATATATATATTTATAAATTGGAATGGTTTTCATTTGATCACTCCTATATATATATATATATATATATATATATATATAAAAAGAACAATCAATAATGATAAGGTGGATTCATATATCAAAGTAATTATTGATTATTATTAATTTCATACATATAAACGTGATCATCGACTCATTTAGCTAACTTAAATAATATATATCAAATAAGCTTATTTCTAATTTTTTATTTTTAGATAATTGTTAAAGAGAGTATGATTCAACCACAAGGGTGGTGCCTGATTGATTTGATCTTGACTCCAAATATTAAAAGTATCAAGAGGTCACAGGTTCAAATCCAAGAAAGAATAAACATCCTCTTGTGGCCACAAAGGTTCAAATGCGATGACTTCGGGCTATCTGCAAAGCAGGTGGTCGTCCCGGGATTAGTTGGCTCGCATAACAGATTGAATATCCAGGTTAATAAAAAAAAAGGTATGGTTCTTATTAGATTTTGTTTTAGTTTCATGTGTTTTATGGGCTATCAATATCGTTTATTTACTAATAAAATTATTCGATTTTGAGTTTTTAGTTCTTATTGATTTAGGCTTTCAAATGGGATTGTTTATAATGCATAATATCTACTAACAAAAAACGAGCTCAATGTGACGATATGGTTTTGACGCCAGCTGTGCGGTTCTGTACTCCCATATTTGTAATTTTATATGTCGTATCTCACCCAACTTTTAAGAGAAGGAAACCTTAAGACCATCTCGCCTTGGACTTCTGGGTTCCTTCTCGTAAGTCATCAGTTCAAGTCTTTCAATGAGACAATGACTATTGGGGATTGGACGCTATGAGATTACTTGAGGTACATACAAACTAGTCTCGATATCTATGATTGAAAAATTATTATGATGTTATTGTATATGCCAATAAATTTTCATTCTCTTTGACTTTGACTTTCTGGTTTTACATTTTAATTAACTTTTCAAATAATTGAATCCTTTTTGCATAATCTTTTTTAGGCATGGGAATTGGTCCCGACTCGTCGGGGAACCCGGTTCACCCGCCCCGGTCGGGGACGGGGATTCCCCGTTAAACTGGGTCTCGGGGACGGGGATCCCCGTTTGGCTCAAACCGGGGATGGGGACGGGGACGTGTATCACACTCTCTGCCCTGCCCCGTACCCATATATATATATATATATATATTATGACCAATTGAATTTGTGAAGCGATTTGCCTCAAACAAGTATTGGAGATGCTATAAGCCTATGATTGTCCAATTAAACTACAGTACGACATCAGACTGTCATAAACATCGATAATAATCTTGCACAACATGACAAAACCTTAAAGCATGAAAATTCACCGTTAATTCATCAAAAGAAAGCTAGAAAATGGAATGATATTCAGTGTATATGTTCGAATTACACAAGAAGTAGTTGATATCCTTACAAAATTGATACTTTAAGTCAAGCTTTGATGGAATAATCAGCAAGTTGGGTCTTAGAAATAACTGTGTCCCAGCTTTAAGGGAAGTGTTGGTCTGGATAATATAACTATAAATTTGCTGCATTTTTTTTTATGTTTTAGATATTAGTTTCCTATCAATAACGAACTGAATTATGTATTTAAACTCTCTACTTTGTAAATTGCTAATCAAGCATTGATTATCGTTTTCGTACTATAATGATCCTAAAATAGTTATTTTAGTTACGTGACTGTTTATAAATGATATATATATGGTATATGGTATATTTCAAATACAACCATGTCCATTTGTACAATGAATACAACCCAATTAATTACGATATTTATGGAAATGATGAGAGTTGATTTATTATGCTTTGAATACTAATGGAAGATGAATAAAGTTCATTAATTATGATCTATACTTTATATTATGAAACAATTAAAACTTTCATAAAATCAAATATTCATCAAATTAAATGGACGGTTGAGACTGAGTTGTATTGGTTGTACAAATGTAAAATGTTGCATAATAGCTCATATATATATATGTATATATATATATATATATATTGTTTTGAACTTGTCGTCATACCTTTTTGTACCTTTAAGTATTAAATTGGCGTGTGTTCTCAACAATTCAACCTCTTTTTACTTCTTAAGCAAATGTTGTGATGTACAACTGAATAACTTTTTCTATTATTGCCATTGATGTTACTTTCAATTTCCATACGAATTTTGACCATAAAGGCTGTCGATTCCATTTTTTTTACTTGTTAAGATCGGATGGGGGACTCTAAAATTGACACCAAATACTAAATTTGACACAAAATCACTCCAATGACATCAAATCTTAAATGAAAGTTGTTGTAGTAAATAGTACCACATCAAATTTAGTGTATCACTGTTCATTTACACAAAAAGAATATACCTAGAATCTTACATTTTGGTGTAAGATTTATGGGCCGTTTACCAAATTTTTACCTGGGTAAACGCTTACCAAGTCACATCACCTTACTGGATGACTATGAGAAGGACCAAGAATCTTACCAGGTAAGAGTGAAAACAAGGACCGAAAGTCTTACCTGGTAAGTGATGGCGACGACTCTTACCAAGGTTAGCGCTTACCGGGTAAATTATTACATACAATGTCGTTTTGGTGGACTTAAATCTTACCCGGTAAGTAAATGATAGTGTTGAATTTTACCGATAAATACTTACCGGGTAAGTATTTAAGTAAATGACCCCTTAATGTTACCCATTAAAGTAAATTTATTGTTTACACTAAGGTTTACACCAATTTTATAGAGATGCCCTGGCCCCTGAGTAATCATTGGATTGTTTTGACACAATCTTCTGTATTTTGTTATTCTATTTTATAATTGATCAGATTATGTTTATGCTACCGAATTAATAAAACTGAAATATTCATAATACTACTGAACCGCAATACTTAGGGGCCTTTTACTTAAACACTTACCCTGTAAGCGCTTAACGGTAAAATTCAACTCTATTGCATACTTATCGGGTAAGATTTTAGTCTACCAAAACGACATCATATGTAACAATTTACCCTGTAAACGCTAACCGTGGTAAGAGTCGTCGCCATTACTTACCTCGTAAGACTCTCGGTTCGTGTCTTTGCTCTTACCAGGTAAGATTCTTGGTCCTTGTCATATTAATCTGGTAAAGGAATGTGACTTGATAAGCCCTTACACGAATAAACATTTGGTAAACGGCCCCTTAGACCATAAACAACTGATTACACCAAATTTACATGAATTATTAGAAGAATTTCCTTGAGTCTCTATAAAGCAGAAGTAACAGCCTGAGTTTTTGCTTCCTTATCTGATTTTATTAGGCTTTCGCTCTATCTTGCATTTCATTCAAAGAACGTTTACACATATCATGATGACACTGCAGACGGCTAACATCAGAATACCTTTGTTGTTTAAATGTCACAATCGTATCACATGGTCCAACGACTTCAAAAGAAATCAGATATTTATACTTATCTTTTCTATGACGTTTTTAGTAATGAAGTAGGTAATGATGCATCTTATGAATTTTGTGTAAAAAGATGTATCTGGAATAAAAAAACAGATTGGTCCAATGACTATATGCCCCATATGGGAAGGAATCGCGCACACGGATTTCGCTCGAATACAAAAGATGTTGAAGAGACATCGTTGTAGTTGTAGATTAAAGGCTTTAAAAAACGCAACTATATGAAATAAATAAATATTTTCTATTTGATTGTTGCTAAATTTAAGGGGTCGTTTACCAAACACTTACCCGGTAAGTGTTTATCGGTAAATTTAACACTATCATTTACTTACCGGGTAAGATTTTAGTTCACCAAAACGACATTGTATGCAATAATTTACCCGGTAAGCACTTACCGTAAGCACTTACCATGGTAAGAGTCGTCGTCCTCACTTATCGGGTAAGACTCTTGGTTTTTGTCTCGCTTTTATTGGGTATGTTTTTGGTTTTTATCATATTCATCAGGTAAGTAAATGTGACTTGGTAAGCGCTTACCCGAATAAGTGTTTGATAAATGGCTCCTAAATAATATTTTACTAAATATTTATATTTAGGAGGTGTTTGGGATTGCTTATTTGAAACAACATATATTTTTCTACAAAAGCACTTATAAAATTATTATAAGTCAAAAGAGTTAAACTTCTTCAAAAACTTCTTATTACCGGTTTGACACCGGTATAAGTTGTTTATCCAAACACTCAAAAATGTTTATTATCGATGTCACATCGGAATAAGCCAATAAGTTATTTTTATAAGCAATCCCAAATACCCCTTATTATAACTTTGAGTAGTAACTAAATATTTTTATAATAAAAAATAAAAATAATTGTAATTTGAGAAAAGGAAAAGCAAAGTAGATGGGATTGTGGGGTTAATTCTGTTGATTCCAATTCCATGAGCACAATGGTGATGATTCCTTTGAATTTCCCAATTTCCATATGCTTTTCTAATCCCGGCTGTTTATTAAACATTTATCCGGTAAGTGTTTATCGGTAAAGCTTAATATTATCATTTATTTATCGGGTAAGATTTTAGTTCATCAAAACGGTATCGTATGCAACAATTTACCCAGTAAGCTATTACCATGGTAAGAGTCGTCGCCCTCACTTACCGGATAAGAATCTTGATACTTATCTCGTTCTTACTGGATAAGATTTTTGACCCTTAAAAGTCTCATGTGGTACTTGTCCATTGGCCAATGGGTTCGTTAAAGTCGATTGGGCTTTGAGAATTGGTCACATTGGTCACGGGTTGGATATCCAGTTTAATAAAAAAAATATTTAAACAAACATAAATGTTAGCTATACATACAACTATTTTACATGGAGGAACATTAATTGTACAATATATTTCTATTTAATAATAATTAAATTATGATTAAACTAATCAGCCTCCACCACCATCGCCGGATCTTCCCGCCACCACCGCCGGCAGCTCCACCAACGACCGCCGGCAAGTCGGACATGACGAATGTGATGCCAACCATACATCAATACACCGTACATGAAACCCATGATTGCATTGTGGCAACACTCTTACTTTCTCCCCATCCTCAAACTCTCCAAGGCATATCGGACACTCAGTCGCCGGAATCTCTAATCCACCACCATAAACCGCCACCGGAAACTGCTTCAACGCCCTCTTCTTAACCCCCGTCGTCGCCGCCGCCAACCGTCCAGCGGCGGCAGCGTCAGAAGTCTGAAACGCCAACCTCCGGCTGCATCTCAAAGCACAACGTACAATTGAATTAATCCCAAGAGCACAAATCAAAGCACACAGTAAAGCAGCCAGTATGATCACCATATTCGTATCGACATTTGCTTCTTTGTTGTAAGACCCATGTTGCTGGCTGCCACCACCACCACCACCGTTCTCCGGCGGCGCCATGGTGTCTGAATCGAGTAGCAGTCGCTGCATGATCAACCCACTTCACAACCCACTTACAGCCAACACTAATTTCTTCAAAAAAAACTAAAAATCGATGAAGGGTTATGCAAATTGGGTCCAGATCTCTTTCCACCACGGAAATTTAACAGGAAATCGAACAACAAAAGAGACTGCAAGCTGGGGATCCATTGCTCTCACGAATTATCAAGATTTTCTTGATCTTTCTGAAAACAGGGGTCTGTGCAATTCTTGGATCAAACAAAAATAGGGTTTTTTTGAAAAAAAAAATCGAGATTGAGGGAAATATGTGAAGAATCTAAGAGTTATAAAGCTTAAAAAGGTGAAATTTCTTCATTGGGTGTTTGAAGATCATCTTCTTGATGTTGAGGTTTTGTGGGTTCTTGAGTTGGAAATGGAAGAAGAGGTTTTCTTTAATGACTCAGTGTCTTGAGAGCTTTTATTTATGAACAAATACTAGTTAGAGCCTTTGGAGGGGGTAGGGGTAGGTTTCGAGTTCGTCGGAGTCTTGTTGTAGGTTTTGAAGGCGTAAAGAAGGGAAGAATGGGGAAGAAGGGTATTTATGGGGAAGACGGGTGGGG